GTGAATCCTGAGGCACTCAAGCTCCTGGATAATGCGGAAATACAGAGAAGACTCAAAAGAACTAAACCATTCGAACTGGTTTAGAAAGCAAGAATTTGTGAGAGAGTACATGTCAAACCGATGTACTATAATATTACGGACAGAGTGACTATCGGAGGATGTGTGTGCTTTGTGTTTTTTAAAGTAGTAGATTAAGTTAAAGACAAATGGCTTATTAGTATACTGTACTAGATTGCTATAATAATAAATAAAAAAAATAAAAAAATATTGATAAAAAGTGCTCGTGGCTGTTAGAGAAAAAATATTTTTAGGACACAAATTAATTTAGGGAAGTTTCCTTAAAGCTTCTATAACAAATCTGCAATCGCTCTTAAAAGATGAAAAATAGCATATTAATAAATTGTTTACCGAAGCTAAAATAATGCAGATCTGTAAAAAATATTGTGAGGTTTCGTTTTTTTGAAAATTGTTAATTTTTAAAACTTTTATTTCAATCTCATTGTCCGACCAAAATTAAATAATATAAATTAAGACTTTTACAACACAATTCAAGGCAGCTCTACCAATCAGGGCCATCTATTCTCCTACGGGCCTCCTGGTCCTTCAAAAGATCCGCGTCCAGAGGAATATTAATTTTTGTGAGATCTGCTTTGATGTTGTCTTTCTTATAGACATGCCTGTACGATCTTAGGAGCTGGGACTTAATTTCTTAATATCTCCGTCGCCGTAAAGCTGATTAATCTCGGGGTTTCTCCTGATCCGCGATACTGGTTGCTATTAGGATCGTGGTGGGGACCAAAGACTTTTGTTAGAATTTTTCTTTCAAAACGCCTGAAGTTTTTCTTCATTAGCCTTAGTCATTGTCCATGTCTCGCAGCTATAAGCGATTATTGGTTTTATAATGCTTTCATAGACTCTCACCTTTGAGGTATTTCCTCTATGACATTGTTATCGGCTGTAATTGCAGCTTGTAAATATTTGAAACGCTCCACCCGTTCAAAATTGAAATTGTCTTTTGGTACATTCTGTCCTATTCTGTCTCTGCGCCCTTGTCTGTTTATGCACATATATGTGGTCTTTTCCTCGGTAATATTGACTCCTTCTCTTGTAACCTTCTCTATGCAATTAAAGACACCTTTTAATAGCGCCAATAATAATTTAGGGCCTCGATCAGTCAGGAGTTCTGTTCTTTCCTTAAATCCCATCCTTTCTCGAATAATTGCCAGAGTGTGAAAAGTTGGTCAACAGTAGATTTGAATTTTCTGAAACCTGCGCGATATAGTTCTGATGGTATGTTATCCGATTCAGGAGCTTTTGAAATTTTTATTGCCTTTTGAATGTATGGATGTTCTTCTACAGGGAAATCTGCTGTGTGGTATGTATTTTCAATGTGTTTTTCATCCGGTTTTTCCCAGCTTGTCAAAGAACTTTTTCCATATTTCCAACTGTTCGTGTTCGTTGATTATCATGTCTCCGTTATCGATTTTCAACCTCAGAACCGACCTGGGCCGATATCCAGGTTTTTCGTTTTTTATTGCCCTATATAACAGTAACTGGTTTAGATCTGTTTCTTTCCATCATCTTGTATTTTCGACGTTCATATTATTGTTTCTGTCTCTTTATGGACTCACGGGTTTCCTTACGACAGTTTACATATTTTTATCGGTTTTCAGATGCATCGTGCTGAATCATGGCTTGTCTAAAAGTTTCTATTTCTTGCAGTTGACAATCATCATTAAGCCATAAGTCGCTTTCATTTTGGTTGTCCCGATGGTTTTTTCTGCTGTCTTTTTTAACGTTTGTTCAATATAGTTCCACAAACCTTCAACATTCAATGTCCGATTTTAATTCTCAATTACTTTCTGTTCCAGTACTTGTTCGTATTTTTGGTTGTACTGGCTGGATTCTGTAGTTTTTCTATATTCCATTGTCCGGTTCGGTTAGTTTTTCGGTTTTTCAGACTCGATATTCTTGCGATTTGTAGTTTGGCTTTTACCAGAAAATGATCTATATCTGCGTCTATCCTCTAAGGCTTCTTACTTCTAGGACACTGGTCACATGGTCGTTGAATACCCAGGTTTGTTTATGGTCCCTTAGATAGATGGTCCCTTAGTAGATTATTGTGGATTTAATCAGCACCTTGTTAGCTGTTGCTAATTCTATTAGTCTTTGTCCGTTGTTTGATATATTGTGAAGGAATATTCACCTATTTATTGTCGGCCTTAAACTAGGTTATTTGCTTATTTTTGCAAAATGATTGAAGCGTCCATTGAATTTGGGCGAAACTATCAAATGCATGTTGACCAATATGTGATCTTTAAAAGTTCATTTCTTTTATTTTATATCCTTGAGATTTCCTCTACATGAAATTTATCACTTTGACAAAAAATTTTGTAAGTTACGTATTTTGTATTTTTGGCTTTTAATTACATTTTTTGTTTGATTTGATTTCATTTGGGTTTCATTCCGTTTCGCAAAGGGGATAATGCTTGATTTGTGCGCTAATTGCCAAATTTGCAACATTTTGCATGATTTTTTGCATATTTACAAGTCAGGGCTGAGGAGTGATATCTACTGTACAAACAGCCTGTCGTGACTTTTCCAAAAAAATGTCAATTACAATTGGAGGCACTTCACATATTGGTATTATCGGCGTTATTTAGAGAAATTGTAGCTCTACTGATGCAAAAATTTCCCAATGTGTCGCATTTTTCTTGAATTTTTGTTAATGTTTCAAAATCAAGTCTGCGAATTTATATTTATTGTGCAAACTGTCCGTCACATTTTTTTTTTAATATTCTCTTATTTACAACTGCAGGCAGGCAGAAAATTGCCAGTACCGCCGTTGGGTAGCGAAACTTTAGCCCTATTTGTGCAAAAATTTTCAAATGTGAAGCGTTTTTCTTAAATATTTGGCATATTTTTTAATTCAGGCTTAAGCATTGAACTCTACAGTCCGTAGCGAGTTTTTCAGAAATTTCTTAATTTAAATCGCGTGCAGATAGCAATTTGTTATTAACGCGATTAAATAAAGGATATTCTGTCCTATTGGTGCACAAATTGGCAAATTTTCGACACTTTTTCGTCAATTTTTCGCATTTTAAATGCGATTTTGAGACCTCTACAGTGCAAACAGTCAGTTGCGATTTTTTCGAAAAATTGTCAATTATAGCCGAAAGTGGATAGCAATTTGTTCTAATAATCAACAGTTCTAATATTGAATTCGTTATTTTACCGTTACTGTGTTTTAATAGTGAATTTGGTTGTTGGTTGGTTATTATCCAGATTCGGTAAAAATCCGTAAAATTTTTCATTTCCATATCACCATCAAGTTATTGATTTAAATTTTTAATTATTTAAGAAATATGTATCAAAATTTCCATTAATATATTGCTGAGGAATTCTAATAAGGCCGACCTCATCGGCTTTGAAAAATGTTGCTCAATAAGGTATTTTTTTTGAGAACGATAGCACATTTGCTATGGAAACGTCTCTGTAACTTTTCCAAACAACTATTTTCTAATCATAATTTTTCTCTCAGAGCTTGAACCTACCTGTGTCGTAGGATATCCTTTAGGTGACAGCTCTTACCTCTTGATCACGAACTTGTTTATTGTGAATTAAGATAAATCTTTATCAATCTGTAATAGAAGAGGTGAGCAAATTCTGTCCTTTTAAAAGACAAAAATTTTGAGGCGAAATACGCAACCAAAACATTTTGGGCTGAAAAACATGGATTCGCCTCAACCATATGGAAAATATCTGCAATGCTTATAGTGGGATTTTTTCGATTTTTGAATCGACGAGCTAAAATCGCTTTGTTATAATGCGATTGTATGCTCTATATTCCGAATTTTATTATCGCTTCTGTCTTGTCTGCTTTCAGACACAGTGGTCTTGTTTGTTAGAAGATACGTTGCTCTACGTATGCCAAGCGCAAATCAATGAAGAATTTTACGTCGAGACTGGATTTAATCAGGAAGGAAAGTAGGTTTACCATTGTCTGCCTTTCAACAACGGAATTCGCATTAAATTTGCATATTAACGAAACTTACATATTTAATAGAACTGCGCTAATTCTATGTTCAAGTTTCAATTATCAACAATTTTTTTGCTTTCCAGTTACACAATTACCATTTTAGTCGCAGCCGGAAATGTAGAAGTAACTGCAACATGTCATATAATAGTAGCACTGGATGTACCGTCGATAGAATTTTTCATACCCTATCCTCTTAAACCAGACCGAGGAATTGAAATAACTGCAAGGATATCTGAACTGAGAACATACTGCACTGTTCAATGGATTGGAGATGGCGATAATGACCTAAAAGTAAGTTTAAAATCGGATATTTACCATTGCTTGATTCTTTTGAAATTAGATATTTTTTAGACCATTTTAGAGAACAACATTTACAATATATCTTCCAAAGATAAAACTTTTCTTGAAGAAATGGTAGAGCTGGGAAGCATTACAGTGACTCGTGATTTCAAACTGAAATTTCCCCAGCCCTCAACAACATCGTCTGGATTGGATAGTAAAAACTATCAAGTGACTCTAACTGTTGTGTGTCCCTCACTTCAAGAAGTCAGTAATGAAAATATTGTTAAAGAGCAACCTACAAGTTTTGTAACTGTACATGGTGTAACTGGATTTTTTGTTCCGCCTTCCCCAAATGTGGAGGTTTTTGTGATATTATCAGACCAAAACGAAGCTTTGAATTCAGAATTTACTTTTGTAGTTGAACTTACTGAGGAAAACAGTGATGATTTAATGCTTGTTAAGTATGGTTTTGTTTTAGAAGGTGTGGAAGTGCAATTTTATACTGGCATTAATGCATTGAGCTCTAAAACTATTTTGCCGTATAATGGAGGTAAATTTTCATGATAATATGCAATATTCCTAGTTTTAAATGGTTATCCATATTTTAGATTTTGGTGTTGAAACTTACGTAGAAGTTTGTGGTTACAAAAATAGATGCAGCAAAAAGTTGGGTCCTTTAGTTAAAACAACTTTAAGCTATGACTATTCTGAAAAGTAAATTGTTTTGTATGCTGCATATTATTTAATTTAAATTTCCTTATTTTAAGAGACATTTATCATCCGTTTATGCAAAAATTGATTGAAGGAGATTATTACAAAGCTTTTGCCTACGTATTTATGGTTCAATATTCTTTGGGATTTGTTAATAAAAGCGATAAATGTAATGGCTTATTCGCATCGCAGCTGATACAAAAAATTGAAGACCTATTAGTTGAAGATGATGCAAAAGGCCTGAACGGGTTTTTAAAGAGTGCAGTTATATTCATGGACCATATAAAGCTGTCCGATGACTTGTGGAAGGTAAACCAATCAACGGAAATATCTTCGGCGGTTTGACATGAATGGGTTTTAAGCTACTTGTCTAAAAATAACTGGGCTTAGCCTAAGACGCAGTAGTCAAATATTGTTCCTATCCATAACTCAAGGTGTTCAGTGTCTATGTTAACTTTAAAACCAAATCTTCCATTCTTCAAGGAATTTTGTTCTTAGTAATGCAACTTCGGTTTTTAAAAAACTTTATTTTAAAAATGACGAAATTACATAGAACGTACACCAAGCAAGTTATCTTAATGACTAACTACATGCGCAACTGTGACTGTATAAATAGGATAATATATGCTGAGTTGACAAAGTCGGTCTAGCTAGTACTAGATCGGTGGAAATGGCCATATAATTCCTCCCTCACTAAGTCTGAGAAAATCGGGGTGGATTTTCGAGGGTTTCTAATTTTATACCCACTTTTACATTGCTTTTCTGTTTCTTATAATAGCAGTATATTATAATTCCAATAATGATGAAAATAACAACTAATATTAAGGTAATTGATAAACTAGAACTAACAACATCAAATTTGTTTAAATGATGAACAGTT